CCCTCCCCCCGCCCCTCCCCCCAGGCCGTGTCGGGCGGTTTTGTCCCTTTTTAGAAATAAAGAAAATTCGCTTGAGCCCAGGGCGGCCTCGGGTGCTGTTTGTGGGTTAAAGCCGGGATTAAAGGGGTTTGGGGGGTTAAACCCGGCCTAAAATGGGGATTAAAGGGGTTAAAACCGGATTTATGGGGTTAAACCTGGCCTAAAATGGGGTTTAAGGGGGTTCAACCCGGATTTATGGGGTTAAACCCGGCCTAAAATGGCGTGTAAGGGGGTTAAACCCGGATTTATGGGGTTAAACCCGGCTTAAAATGGGGATTAAGGGGGTTAAAACCGGATTTATGGGGTTAAACCCGGTTTAAAATGGGGATTTATGGGGTTAAACCCGGATTTATGGGGTTAAACCCGGCCTAAAATGGGGTCTAAGGGGGTTAAAACCGGATTTATGGGGTTAAACCCGGTTTAAAATGGGGATTTATGGGGTTAAACCCGGATTTATGGGGTTAAACCCGGCCTAAAATGGGGTCTAAGGGGGTTAAAACCGGATTTATGGGGTTAAACCCGGTTTAAAATGGGGATTTATGGGGTTAAACCCGGATTTATGGGGTTAAACCCGGCCTAAAATGGGGTCTAAGGGGGTTAAAACCCCCTCCCCCCGCCCCTCCCCCCAGGCCGTGTCGGGCGGTTTTGTCCCTTTTTAGAAATAAAGAAAATTCGCTTGAGCCCAGGGCGGCCTCGGGTGCTGTTTGTGGGTTAAAGCCGGGATTAAAGGGGTTTGGGGGGTTAAACCCGGCCTAAAATGGGGATTAAAGGGGTTAAAACCGGATTTATGGGGTTAAACCCGGCTTAAAATGGGGATTAAGGGGGTTAAAACCGGATTTATGGGGTTAAACCCGGTTTAAAATGGGGATTTATGGGGTTAAACCCGGATTTATGGGGTTAAACCCGGCCTAAAATGGGGTCTAAGGGGGTTAAAACCGGATTTATGGGGTTAAACCCGGCTTAAAATAGGGTTTAAAACTGGATTTATGGGGTTAAACCCGGCCTAAAACGGGGTGTAAGGGAGGCTGGAATTGAGGCTGGGGGTTAAAATTCGCCTTCGGGGGTTAAACTCGGGCTGGGGGGGTTAAACTGGGGTTAAAATGGGCTTAAAACCGAGATTAGGAGTTTAAAAGTGGGGAGTGGTGGAGATAAAACTGAGTTTGGGAGGTTAAACTGGGTTTAGAGGAAGTTTGGGCCTGGTTTTATCCTTTAGGCCCAGGCCTGGTTTTATCCTTTAGATCTGGGCCCGGTTTTATCCTTTAGGCCCAGGCCTGGTTTTATCCTTTAGGCCCGGGCCTGGTTTTATCCTTTAGATCTGGGCCTGGTTTTATCCTTTAGATCTGGGCCTGGTTTTATCCTTTAGATCTGGGCCTGGTTTTATCCTTTAGGCTCGGGCCTGGTTTTATCCTTTAGATCTGGGCCTGGTTTTATCCTTTAGGCCCGGGCCTGGTTTTATACTTTAGGCCCGGGCCTGGTTTTATCCTTCAGGCCCGGGCCTGGTTTTATCCTTTAGGCCCGGGCCTGGTTTTATACTTTAGGCCCGGGCCTGGTTTTATCCTTTAGGCCCGGGGCCGGTTTTATCGTTTAGGCCCGGGCCTGGTTTTATCCTTCAGGCCTCACCGGGGGCTCCAGTCCCGGTTCTGGGCCCATTTCTGAGGCCACTGTGGAGCCGCAAGGTCTTTAAGCAAAAGCTCTGCTCATTAACGGTAATTAATTCCACTAATTAAGGATTTAATGAGTTCGTTTCCTTCCTGCCCAGCCCGGGCCGGCTCCAAGGCCTCAGCCCGGGCTCGGTTGCCATGGCAACCAGGGGGCTGTGGGCGCCGCCATCTTGGCTGCGGCGGCGGTGACGCGGCGGGGAAGGGGGGAGGGGACAACGGGGGGCTCCCCCTCCCCCCACGGGGATTTTGGGGGGGTCCCGAGTGGGGGAGGGGCTCCCGCGTGGGCCGGGGGCGTCCCCAGAGCCCCCCGCGGGTCCCTTCTCCCTCCCGCCGCCATTTTGGGTGCTGGGGAGGGGGCGGTGCGCCATCTTGGGGCGGCCGGGGGCGCGGCGCGCATGCGCGGGTGTCATGGCGGCGTCCATGGGACCGTCTGGGTGCGCATGCGCGGGTGTCATGGCGGCGTCCATGGGAGCGTCTGGGTGCGCATGCGCGGAGGTCATGGCGGCGTCCATGGCAACGGGTGGGCGCCGCCATGTTGGGTGCGGGGCCCTGAGGGGCTCGGCCGCTCTTCCTCCTTTTCCTTCCTCTTCCTCCTGGTCCCCAAATGGTGGGGGGGGTCAGAGGAGGGCGCAGAAGAATTTCTTCTCGCGGAAGGGGTTCTCCGAGGTGGGCACGGGCGTCAGCAGGGGGTCCTCGCACGCGTGCGCCTCGCAGTAGCTCAGCAGCTCCGCCGCCGCCTTCGACACCTGGGCAGGGGGGGGGAAAGGGGGTCGGGGACCCCGAAATGGGCACCGGGACCCCGAAATGGGCACAGGGACCCCAGAAATACAGCCCGGGACCCCGAAATGGGCACGGGCACCCCAGAAATACAGCCCGGGACCCCGAAATGGGCACGGGCACCCCAGAAATACAGCCCGGGACCCCAAAATGGGCACGGGGACCCTGAAAATAAACCTGAGAACCCCAAAAATGGGCACGGGGACCCCAGAAATACAGCCCGGGACCCCAAAATGGGCACGGGGACCCCGAAATGGGCACGGGGACCCCGGAAATACAGCCCGGGACCCCGAAAATGGGCACAGGAACCCCAGAAATAAACCTGGGAACCCCAAAAATACAGCCCGGGACCCCGAAAATGGGCACAGGAACCCCAGAAATAAACCTGGGAACCCCAAAAATACAGCCCGGGACCCCGAAAATGGGCACAGGAACCCCAGAAATAAACCTGGGAACCCCAAAAATACAGCCCGGGACCCCGAAAATGAACCTGGGACTCATAAAAATACACCTGGAAACCTCAAAAATACAACTGGGAACCCCAAAAATAGACCTGGGAACCCCAAAAATGAACCTGGAACTCATAAAAATGTACCTGGAAACCTCATTTTTCCCCATTTTTCCCCATTTTTCCCCATTTTTCCCCATTTTTTTGCTTTTTTTCCCCATTTTTCCCAATTTCCCCGTTTTTTGCCCCATTTTTCCCCACCTTCACCCGGCACAGGCTGGCCTCGATCTTCAGCTGCTCCCCCATTTCCCCCCATTTTTCCCATTTTTCCCCCATTTTTCCCCCGTTTTTTCCCATTTTTTCCCCGTTTTTTCCCCTTTTTTTTGCATTTTTTCCCCTTTTTTCCCAATTTCCCCGTTTTTTGCCCCATTTCCCACCTTCACCCGGCACAGGCTGGCCTCGATCTTCAGCTGCTCCACCATTTTCCGGGCCTGGCCCACGCTCAGGGTGCTGCTGGGGGGGGGCTCGCCCTTCATGGGGGGGCTGCGGGGGCACCCCCGGATTTGGGACCCCAAAAAACCAAAAACCCCAAAAAAAACCCCCAAAAAAACCCCAAAAAAACCCCAAAAAACCCCCAAACCCAAAAAAACCCACCCCAAAAAACAAAAAAAAAAAATTTAAAAAAAATCACAAAAAATCCCCCATAAATTCAGTGTTTTCCCTCTTGCCCCAAAATCCAAATTTCCCCCTCGAGCCAAAATTTGGGAAAAACCAAAAACCCCAAAAAAAACCCAAAAAAAACCCAAAAAAAACCCACCCCAAAAAACAACAAAAAAAATTTAAAAAAAATCACAAAGAATCCCCCATAAATTCAGTGTTTCCCCTCTTGCCCCAAAATCCAAATTTCCCCCTCGAGGCAAAATTTGGGAACCCCCAAAAACCCAAAACCCCAAAAACCCCCCCAAGAAACCCCCAAAAATAAATAAATAAATTAAAAAAAATAATTAAAAATCCCCTATAAATTAAAACAACCTCTAAAAAAAACCTCTTGCCCAAAAATCCAAATTTCCCCCTCGAGGCAAAATTTTGGACCCTCCCAAAACCAAAAAAAAACCCCCAAACCCCCCAAAAAATAAAAAAAAATCCACCCAAAAATAAAATTAAAAAAAAAAACCAAAAAACCACAAAACCACACCCACAAAAAAAAAAAATCCCCTATAAATTCCCCCTAAAACCCCCCAAAAAATAAAAAAAAAATTCACCCAAAAATAAAATAAAAAAAAACCAAAAACCACACCCACAAAAAAAAAAAAATCCCCTATAAATAAAAAAAACCTCTAAAAAAAAAAACCTCTTCCCCAAAAATCCAAAATTTGGGACCCTCCCAAAAACCCCAAATCACCCAAAAAACCCCAAAAAATTTAAACCCCCCCAAAAAAATTTAAAAAGCCCCCCCAAAAAAATAATAATAAAAAAATTAAAATTCCCCCCC